GGGGTGGGGGCCTGCGCCGGCCCGGCCGATCCGAGGGCCGCCAGGGAGGCGGGCCCGAGACGGGGGCGAAAGACGAACACTTGGGCCCGCAGCGCGGGGAGGGCCCCCAGGAGGGGAGCGCCCGCGGGAGGCCCGGGCGCGCGAGAGGGGTGGCCGGCTCCCGGGCTGCGGCGGGGGAGCGGGCGGCGAGCGGCAGGCGGGAGCGGCGAGGGACCGTGGCCGGATGTCCCGCCCGGCAGCTCCCCGCCCCCGGCCCAGCCGTGACACAGGCGCGGGGGCGGGCCCAGGCCGGGGGCGGGGAGAGAGGAGGGCGCCCCAGCATGGAGCGGGCCAGGAGGGCGCGTGCAGACCCCCACCCGGGAGAGGGCGCCGGAGCCAGGGCAGCCCTGGTGCTCCCGGCTTCGGAGACAAAAGCTGCTGACGCCCAAAAGGCAGAAGAGACCCAGGCCAGGGCTCCCTCTCGCGCAGCGCGTGCCCTCGGGGAGCTGCACGGAGAGGACCGGCACCCAATGCCCTGCCGCACACTCTGGCCTGGCTGAGACCTTCCTCCAACAGCGTGTCTGGAGGCAGAGGGCACCCTCAACGCTGTGCGCGAGTCCAAACTTTCGGGAAATCCTTCTTTCCCGCTGGAAGCGGAGTCCCCAGTGTGCTCCTCCTACTCACCCTGCCCTAGCCACTCCAGTAAAGAGAAGCAAGATTGTCAGGCACTGGCCAGTGGCTCATCTCCATGGTGACCATTAGATTTAACAGTACCTGCTGGATTACAGTGTTCATCCGCTGGGTAATGCTGAAATGTCTGGAAATGGAGTCTTCTCCCTGCCTGTCTGCCTTTCCCCAGACCTGAAGAAGTGGGAGGACTGGGACAATCTCTGATGAGGGGCCAGTTTGTGCATGGTGGTCACTAGTGTGACCAGACACATTTTGAAGGGTTAGGAGCTGGAGGCACAGAGCAGCAGCCTCCCTCACTGGAGCCAAACATGCCTCAGTGGCACCGGGCCGACCATGTGGGCTAGAAGCAGATATGGGAATGACTAGGATAGCAGTGGCCAGCCTTTACCCACCAAACTGGGCACCTAGCTCAGGGCCCAGACTTCGTCCTGTTATGGACGTGTGGGGAGCCTGTGAAGCCCCAAAGGGGAGTAGTGATGTGATCAGAATCCACATTTACCAAGGCAGGTGCCTGCTCAGTGTATGGTATGCTCTCTTCCAGTTGTCACAATGGCCCCTGGAGGCAGGGACTACAGGCATTCCCACAGCACAGCTGAGGAAACAGGCTCAGGGGAGCTGAGACTCTATCAATCAGTCCGATTCTAAAACCTACACTCCTAATCGAGATTAATGAACCGCTGACATGGAATGGTTTGGAGGAAGCAGCTGACCCTAGGTCACAGTACTGAAGGGGTGAATGGAACAGGGGTAGAAGATGCCAGAGGCGTTGAGTTTAGTGGGAGAATGGAGGTACCACTGATCAGATGAATTCATAAGCATGAGGGGTTCTGGAGGATGAGACGAAGCTAAAGGGTTCATGGAAGGCTCTCAATCCCTAGCAACATAACACAGGGGGAGGAATTGAAGTGTGGTGGCTTTTCAGCTCCTCAGGGTTAGGCTCCCAACATCTCACTGCCTGAGTGCTGAGTGCATCTCCGGGATGCACCATCCACTGACTTATAACTTTGTATCAAGTTCAGCCTTCACCGAACTCCTTGCTTCCAATAGCAGTGAATGCAGATTTCTGATGTTGGGATTATTTTCTACTGGTTCGTTTATTTATTTTTGAACAATAAGCATCTTTTATACTTGAAGGAAAAAAAAAAAAAACCTTTGGAAAAGTTTTGATAATACGGCCACATATGCTCATTCCTCTGAAGAGTTTTCTGTGTTAGCAGTCACAGCAAAGCAGTCTGAGTACAGGAACAGCCACTTACTCTGGGGGAGTCCTTGGGCAAGGTACTTGTCTCCACACCAGTTTCCTATCTGTTAAATGATGGGACATTGTTCACCTCCTGAGACTCTTGTGAGAGAGCACACTGATGGCAGTGTCTGTGCCACTAATACCCTCTATCAAAATGCACCTGCCCAGATGTCCTCATCAAAATGAAGAGAGTAGGGCAGCTATGCTCTGTCCTATGGAACCCCCATGCCTCTGTTCCCATGCCTCGTAGGAACTCCCACGGTCACAGAGCTTGCCCCACACTAAGCAAGGACAACACTAAGGCTTTCGGGCTGGGGTGAACCAAGGTCCAGGCAGTCACAAACCCATGGCCTGTGATGTGATCTTCATTCCCTCAGCAAGGAGTGCCAGCTGCTAGATACTGAGGCCCTAGCGCAGTTTCTGTTGGCCAGTTCCTTAAGCATATGACCCAAGGTGATGAGGTGGAATCTTCATCATGTACCAGTTCCCAGGTCACTGGCTAGGTGAAGGCTGGCAATCCAAGGACTTCACCTTGTCCAGTTGGTAGCTCTGGCCACCATGATGTCAAGAAGTCAACCCCAAGTTCTCACTGCCTCTGTCTCCTTTCCTCGGTCTGCTTTCCTTCTACTTCCCTGCCCTTTTTGTTTATTGGCCTTAGTTAGCCCCTACACTGCAAGGGTTAAAGAGGGACCCCCAACATAAAAAGTAGTGAGCCCGTCTGTATGCACACCCTCCCACCCCCACACAAAGATGACAGGACACACAGGAAACAATCCTTTTCTAAATCAATACAATTTTTCAAATTTATTTTTTTCTTAAAGAAGTACTTCTAATCTCTGTCAAAAGGGAGGTGAGGAAAGGTCCTCCCTCCCTTGTAAACACTGAAATACAGATCTGAGAAACCAGGGTCGACACACACAAAAAGTGCATTTTACAAAATATCAACTAAAATATATTTTACATGAATTATGCTTCCATTGAAATTCTACCAGCTGCATTTTCAGGTTCGAAAAAATATTTCGACATCTAAGAGATTTCAAAAGCATTTAAGTTCTGGGCAGCAGACCCTGCCTCCTGGGAGGAGGGGCCTTGATCTCCTTTCCTGCTAGGTGAGGCTGGGCTCCTCAGCAGCAAGGGCCAAGCACCCTGGGGATGAGCAGGCTCCAAGGCTGGCTCTCCAAAGGCCCCATGGCCACTCTGCCAACCTCTCTTACTGCCCCACGCCTTCCTCCTGACAGCTTATTCAGTACAAGGGCACCCTAGCCCCTTCCCTTCAGGTTTGGGATTGGGCTTTCTGTATGGAAATTCACCTCTGAAGCCTCCGGGGCCCCCCTAAGCCCAGGGACCAACTGGGAGCAGCCTACAGCACAAGGCTGGGAGCGCCCACAGGATTTGCTTCCACCTCCCTCTCTAGACCCAGCTTGACTGTCCTCACCCAGTGTCACCTCCTTACATGCCGGGTCTGTGCCTGCCCCTTCCTAGGGGAGAAGAGGGAGTGCTGCCCTCCTTGGCTCCTACCCCCAGGGGTGTGCCCTGTGTAAGTGCTCATAAGCAGGGCCCAAGCCACACTGTGCTCCCCTCCCCACCATGCTCCTCTTTGGTACAAACAGGAAAGAACCAGGCTGCTTCAGCCCCCTCACAGACAGCCCCAGGGCCAGGGCCTAGTCCTGACTAGGACAAGAGGGGGCTCAGCCTCTAATCTACTCTGGGGAGCAGCATGAGGTGAGAACGGGGCCCCTGGGCAACAGGAACAAACTGAAAATGCAGGTCCTTAGCTCCTAGAGTGAGTGGCTGCAGCTCAGCAGGTCTGTGGACTGATACAGTGTTGATTCTCGCAGGGATGTAAATTAGTGCAATCTACAAAAGACTAGGGTAAGGGGTAGCAGGGCAAGGGGAGCCACAGCACTCCTTTGGTTTGATTTCAGGTGGGTGTGGCTTGAAGAGTCATGTATGAAGTTCTGCAAGAGGTTTCCTAGAACCTCCAAGTGTAAGGCAAGAGGAAAAGTCTTCAATAAATCAGGTAGCAATTTTCCTTGCCCCCTGCCCCCCACCCCCTCCCAGCTCCCTTCTGCCCTCCCAGACATGATAAACCTCATGTTGACCAGTTAGCTTCTGGGAAGCCAGACCTGCTGGGTGGCCCTCACCAGGAGGCAGACAGGAAGCTGACTCCCACAAGTGGGCCACACCCATGACTATGTGCACTGGGTAACTTGTCCCAGCACCAGGGGCTACTGCAGGGGCAAAGGAGGAAGCCAGGGAAAGGCCCCGAGTCTAGAAAAAGCAAGTCCGTGCTCTGGAAGCCAGACTCTGGCTCTCTATGCCTCAAAGGAAGGAACTCGGAGCTGTGCTAAAATCTGGGAGAGCCTGGTCCCAGGCTGATGGGGAAGCAGCGGGTCACAGTGGGTGAGGTAAAGCTGGCTCCCACTCCCTCTTGAAGGGCCCAGGGGAGGCTAAAGAGCCTAGTGGGCCTTGTTCCTGAAAGACTCTCCCCTCCCCCAGGGCCCCATGCCCCTCAGGCTTGGCCCAGTCTCAGGGAAGACTGCTTCTTCAAGTCTCCACCCAGGCAACCATAGAGAGGTACCCTGGGCCAAGCTGAGGGCTGTGATGCTTTCCCTATACCCTGGCCTCCCCTTCCCTCCCAAGGGCCCAGTACCCATAGGGATCCCTGCCCTCCCCCCCAAGAGAACCACAGGCCAGCAACTTCAGGTCCCTGTGGCCCCTTAACCAAGTGCTGTGCTTCAAGCAGTACCCCCTGCCCCGAGCCCCACTTGCCCGTGGGCAGCCTCAGTGTGAGCCTGAGGAGGCTACTGAGGGTTCTTGAGGATGCGGCCATGGCGGAAGTCATAGACATGGCGGCAAAGAAACACCAGCTCAGGGTCCGTGTCCTCGGGCACTGTGCGGTGTGGCGGGGTGGAGTAGTCCGCAGAGGGGGGCACCAGTGCTGTCTTTCGGCTGGGGAGGCCCTCGCCTCGACGCTTGGCCATGGCACAGAATCTGTAGTGACACACCACCATTTGCTGTCTTTACCACAGCCACCTTTGCAGGAAGATCAGTTCCTTCCCTACCCTGCCCAGAGAGCTGGGGCATCCCCTCCCACCCCCACAAGGGCTGGTGCTGCCTCCATCCCTGTCCTGGGGGCTATGCCCTCTCTGCCAACCGCCAGTCCATCTTCTCTGTCACTGGGGAAGCACATCTGCTGGGGCCTCCCTCCCAACACCTGCCAATTCTCCTCGATGGTTCTCTGAGAGCAGTACTGTAACCATCCTCAACTCTGCCCCAACCACTCTGTCTTAGAGGAAGAACAATTTTTCTTTCTTCTACAAACATCAGATGGTGGAAGGCTGTGAAGAAGAACATTCTGGGAGGTCAGGCCCAGTGAATGAGATCCCCTTGGGAATTGCAGCCCCCGAAACAGCCCTGGGGAGTCTGAGGGGGGAGGCTAGACAGAGGTGCAGGGTACCACCCACCTGCAGTACTCAGCAAAGGTCAGCACGTAGCACTTCTCCTCGATGCACGCCACACTGTTCTGGTCCTGATGTCTCGATGCAAAGACTTCATTCTGCAAAGGCTCAAGGAGAGAGAGGAGGTTGTTGGTACCAGGATTGGAAGCACCTACCTCCAGTAGCAAGGTGGACATTAACTCTTCTCCTGGGACTTGTGACCTAAGATAACTCCAGCTAGTGCCCAGGAAGCCAGGGAGCATCTCTGGAATTGTGGCCTAATTGCTCCGCACCTAGTGCCCACCCCAAGGCACTCTTCCCTCCCTAGGTCCCTCCTACTCAGGAATAGCCAGGGGCCCGTTCCAGCACCGCCCCCCAGCCCATGTCATCAGCCTCCTGACCCCCAGCTCAAGGGAGGAGAGGGGAACTGGTGCCCATCTCCCCATGAGATGAAAAGTCCCAGCAAGGGAAACCACGAGAAAGGGAGCTCAGACTGTGGGCGGAGTGACCACACCGATGGCACTATCTCTCCTGGCACACAGCTGGGTAAAGTGCCCAAGAGCGTCTGGAGTCTCTCGTCTCCTCCCTCTCATGCCACAGACGGTATCAAAGGGGGCCAGGTGTGCAGTTCCACCTCCCCTTTCCTGCTGCCAGGAGGACACATCTACTTGCTCCCATTCTGGCATGCCCTCGGGGGCTTCCCTTCCTGTTCCCCTTTGAAGACAAAAGTTACTGTTCCCTTTAAAACATGAATTGGATCAGTGTTGGGAAAAGAGGCTAAAACCCAGGCCCTTCCATGGCGTCCAAGGCGACGATCACTCGACTGCCCATGGCTGCCTCCCCAACCATGTTCTTGGTGCCGCAGTTTCTCCCTCTGCCACCCCTGCCCTCCCCAACACACCGGCCAGGCGGCTCACCTCGTGCATGCTGGGACTGCGGCCTCCCTGTAAGTGCTCTGGTCTGTAATACCACAAGAGGCTCATCATCAGCTCTCCTAGGGGGACAAGAGAAGCAGTCATGGCTCGAGCTGGCAACCCCAGAGTTACTCAGACAGGCAGGAAGGCTGGCCACCTGCCCTGCAGTCTCATCCAACTTCAACGCCTGGGCCAATACTGCAGGCTCCAGCCACCCATATCCCCTGCCTCAGGCCAAGCCTGGCAGCTCAGTGGCCTGGAATGCTGTCAGGCATGGAGGAAGAAGGGGGAAAAGGCACTGACAGGTGAGGGGGGGGGGGGGGCCACAGGTGCCTAGCCCTCGGTGGCGGGAAAGGTTAAAGAGCTGATCCAACCCAAACCACAAGGCCATCTGCAACCCTCAGCAGCAGACAGATGCCGGCTGAGTGGAAGGCAGACTCTGTGCCAAGAACATGAGGAGACTAGTAGCAGATCAGACTCCAGGCAGGGGGTACCTGATTCAGGGTTCTCCCAGAGGGCAGAGATCTTGGCCACATAAGGTGTGGATGTCTTTCGTGGGCCTGACTTGAGGAGGACAGTGTCCCGGACCCGGATGGTCTCTCCGTGCCGCTCCACTGCCTGGTAGCTCTTTCGGATGGCTGGTTCTGGTTCATCCTAAGCAAGAAATCAATGACACAAACAGGCTCGTGGGGGCCACATTCAGAGTGAGGAGGGGGAAGGGAGGGAGCGAAAGACATTCTCTTTGTGCTTTCCTCAGGGCAGTCAAACCACTGAGGATGGGAAGCTGTAAAAGCAGCTTGCACAGTGGCCTCTTCTCCCTAAGCCTGGCTCTCAGGAGCAGGATGCAGATGGGAGATCCCTATGGCTGGAGAAAGAAAGAAAAATAGGAATAGGGCTGGGAAAGTGGCCTAAAGCTTCTGACGCTGCGCTATGAACCACACCCCAAGAGCTGGCTCTCTTGCTCCAAGCCCACACCACTGGCAAAGTCCTCAAACTTCCTATCGGGGCAGTATGGGTTTGACCCGTAAGCCCTTAAGTGGGGTAGCCCTGGGCAAATTAGTCTGCTGCCATGCCTCAGTTTCCTCATCTGTGAGATGGGGATAATTACAGGAACACGGGATATGTACCTCCCAGAGTAGTAGTGAGGAATAATGCGGTATTTACTTTCTGCCACCCAGAAAGTACTCAGTAAAGTTTAGTCAAGCATTTTCATCATCTGCATCTCCAACGTTCCTGGCATCACACTCATTTTCTCTGCCTATCCCAACGATCCCTATGCATACTCATCCAAGAAGCCTCCATGAAAGTCCTCCATTTTATAATCCAGGATAGAAGGGACAGTATGATCAAGGATGAGCTGTGAAGCCACTTCAGATGGGTTCCCTGAGAGTCGGTGACAGAAATGGAGGCCAACAGCTCTGACTGTATGTCCCCGGAGCTCCTCAAGGCACATGGTACAGGATCAGAGGGGCTAGGGAAGGAGGCCGGGCCAGCATGACTGGTTCCCAGGGTATAAGCCTGGGAACCAGGCTCGAGTCCAGGATTCCTGGAACCCACCTCAGAGCGGGTCCTGTCCCCACTGGCCCCTTCCCTCCTCCCCATCGGCTAACAGCTGGCACTCACCAAGACATAGACCGCCTTCTCACAGGCAGCCCCAACGGGAACCCAGCCGTTAGTGCGGCGGCGGCGGCGGCGGCGTGGGCGTGGGCGCTGGACGCGCGGTTGCTTGGGGTGGCTGGGCCTGCAGGCAGCCTTGCTTCTCGCAGTGTGCCTACAGCTGGAGCCCGTGCGCAGACCTGACTTGGAGCCGCTAGGAGGCTTGGCACTCTGAGGGCACGCACGGGCTACCGTCTGGGGCTCCGAGGTGGGTGTCTGAAGATGAGGGACGGGCTCCGCTGCAGGTGGCACACTGGGCACAGGGCATCCCAGGAGGGGGTGGGCAGGTGAGGCAGGGTGGCCGGCTTCCGGGAGAGGAAATTCCAGCTGGCCTAGGGACCTGCAGCCTTCTGGGGAAAAGAAGAGAGGGGTTAGGACAGGTAAGGACAAGCAGTAACAATCCCTCTGGCCCCCCTGCTTTCAGAGCCTACTGTCTTAATTCGGAGTGTGTACCCAAGGGTCCCTGAGGTGCAAGTGGAGTCAGGGGCCTCTGAGGTAGACTGTCAGAGTGACTGGCCAAGGGTGCTTCTTGACCTTGGAGACCGGCCCACAGCTATCTCCCCCTTCTAGCCTGCAAGAAGGGCAGGTAATGGGAAAAGAGTCTCTAGCTCTGACTTATTCTCCTCCGGGGCTTCCACAGTGCTAAGGAGAAGGGGAGTGGGTGTCAGCCCAGGATGTCAACCCCAGACCTGCCACTCACCGACTGTATGACCGCAGGCAAGTCATGCTACCTCTCAGTGCCTTGCAATAGAAGCAGGAATGGCAAATATCATATAGAGTGTCCCAGGCGTTTTTCTTATCAACGTATTAACTCATCTCATCCTTACATCCTTACATCAACCCTAGGAGGTAAGTACCACTGCCACCATTCTAAATTAAGGAAACCGAGACACAAGCAGTTACTGGCTTGTCCCACGGTCACGTGTCTAAGGAAGTGGGGGAGAACATTTCACTCTAGGCAGTCTGGCCCCAGAATCTGTACTCAATTACATGCCATGTGGCCTCCCGTATGTAAAGTGCTTGGAACAATACCTGGCACGTGGTGCTTACTGGTGTTCCAGGGTAAGGGGGTAGGGTCTTGGGTCCCATGGTTTAGGGGTCTAGATTTGGGAGAATGGTACAAAAAAGAAGGAAAAGCCCAAGAAGCAGCCTGATCTCATTTCTTAGTGCTCCAACTCACACCAAAACCTGAAACAACCAGTCGGGCCAGAGTCAACTGGTCTATAAAGTTGTTTTATAGACCCCTACAAGATGGGGTGTGGGGTAGTAGCAACGAGAGCCCTGGTAAGGCCCAGCCTCTCATTTCATCAGCAGCAGGGTAGACTCGCTAGACAGGATGGCTCTGGTCACCTCATTTCCACCCAGGAGCCAGGGACAGAGCCTGGAGAAGCATGTGAGGACACGCCTGCCAGTCTGGGGTAAGAGTGATCACCGTGGGGGTGTCTCATTGGCTACAGCGCAAGCCTCCCTGGTGTCTGGGCCTTGCTAGGAATGGGCCTTGCTAGGAAGGCAGACACCAAAGCCACGGACCCTGTCAGCACTCTGTGCCAGGGAACCCTGCTGGTCTATTCTCGGAGTGTGCCCCCTGTTAGCCCCCAGCAAGGCGATGCCAAGTCTGGGCACTACCTCTCTCTCAAGGCCTGTATGGCCAGGGCAAAGCAATCCAGCTGCGTCTGGCACCACCTATTGGGCCTGGTTACCCACCCTCCTTCCCATGAATGCTGAACTAGGCCAGCATGCAGATGGAATGGGCTCCTGGAAGGTAGAATTCTAGCTCTCCTCGAGGAAGGCAAAGGGACATAGGAACAACTTGGCAAAAGCACTAATTTCAATACCTAATTTGCTATTCAAGAGTCTGAGAATGGGTATCCTAATGGGGAGGAAGGGATGGCTCTCCCTGCCCCCTCCACCACCATGGTGCTACCTAACTACCTGGCCAAGAGATCTCCATACACAGGGGAGCCAGAGCAAAGAGCTAGACACAGGCCCCTTTTCTGGGAATACTCCTTGGCTTGGGGCATGAAACTAGGGGAGTCTTCCTTTTCCAAAGCCCCCTACCACCCATGTTGTAACTAGACCTCAAGGAACCCCACCCAATCCTTGGCCCACCCTCCCAGGACACTATCTGACTCCCTGGGACATCCCACACCTAAGAAGGCTTACCTGCTGCAAAAGGCATTTTGTAGGGGCAGCCGCCACAGGTGGTGCCAATATGGGTAAGAGACGGGGGCAACATTTCACAGATGCTGTAGCCATTCACTCCAGTATCCTCGCTAAAGCAGTAGCGAGAGCCCCAGGGAGGGTGTTGGAAAGGGGTGCCCGCGGGCACTGAGCTCGGTGCCAAGAGGAGCCCCTCGTTAGGTGCAGCCACTGGGGACAACTTGCCCTCAGGAAGCATGGGGCAGGGGGAGTAGCCTCCACACTGCAGCCCATCTTGGCTGCAGTACAGGTAGAAGCTGCCTAGTGCAGGGAGCTCAGGCCTACCACACAGGCCACTGTAGTGGGCAGGGTTGCCAGGCATCGGTAGGGGGGACAGCTGGGGTGCAGGGAAAGAAGGCTGGTGCAGTTCCTGCTTGGGGGCAGGTGACTCCTCGCCTGGGCGCCCAGGCTCCGGCTTCAAGGCTGCCTGCCCACCCATCAGCAGGGGCAGGTGGGGGCGCAGCCCCAAGGGGCTCTCCAGAGCCTTGCTCAGGGGCTGGTAAGGTGGCTGGCTGGCTGGCCCACGAGGGGTGGCAGATGGCCACGGCTCCTCGGGGTGCTTTTGCCAGCCGGGTGGACCTACGGCCTCCCCAGAGCCAAGCCCCTGCCGGGCCTTGGGATAGTTCTTGCCATTGACTTTAGCCCACTTTGGCCTCGGAACCCTCAGTGCTGGTGGCTCTGTGGAGCGCCCATCTGCTTCTGGGTGGGCACGAGGCGGCCTCAAGGGTAGCTCCCGCTCCTGGCTCAGCTTTAGGAAGGCAGCTGCATTCAGGCTGGCCAATCTCTTGGGAGCTGGGTCACCATCTCGACGAGCACCCTCCTCAGGTGCTGGCTCTGGGGACAGGTCCCGACTTCCCCCTCCGAGGTCCTCTAGCCGGGGCCGCTTCTTGGAAGAGGACCAGCCCCCACTGGCCCGGTCACGGTCCCGACTGCGGTGAGGGTCTCCCCCTCGACTGCGACGAGTGCCGGCCAGGCTGCTGGCATCCTCCCGCTCCAGCAGCAGGTTATTGAGGGCCTCCGCATTGAGGGAGGCTAGGCGCCTCTTGCGGGGCTGGGCAAGGGCAGTGTCCTCACTGGATGGGGCTGGGCTGGGGGGCTTGGGCAGGTCAGGGGGCAGCTCATCAGCCTCATCTGCACTCCGTGGACCAGCCACATTCTCCAGGCGGGTCAACAGCACTTTGCAGGCCTTAGGCTTCTCAGGAACTAATGGGCGCTTACGAAGTGGGTAGTTCTTGCGGCGCCCTGTGAGGTGCCCTGGGCTCTCGGGCATGCCTGCTTCCACACTCTCCGCCCCCTGCTCCATATTGCTGCCTTCCATCTGCAGGGGCTCCCGGCGGCCAGTGGGGCCCGAACTCAGCATGGGAAGGGACTTCCTCCGCGTGTGTGTCATGGAGTACTTTCGATCTGCAGGGCAGAAGGCAGGCAATGAGAGAAGCCCACCTCGCCCTGCCCTGTCTGCCTCTCCTCTGCTGCAACCCATCCAGCGCCACCCCCCGCCCCCAACCTTCCGTCATTCTGGCCTACACTCATCCCATCTACAGCCTGGCTTTTCCCAAGACCCCTCTTCCGGGGTTGGGGGGGGGGGGACTCCAGTGGGATCAGGCTACCAACAGCTGTGCAAGGACTGGCTGCCCCACTCTTCTCTTAACCTAGGGTCCTTCTTTGAACTAAGCCCCTATGGAAGGATGCAGACCCTGGGATGAGAAGACAGAAAGTGCTGGGGGCAAAGTTCTCAGTCTATCTATTCTTCTCCCACTAGATACTCACTGCAGGTCAAGAAGAGGCTGTGAAGATGCCAAGCCAGGATGGGGGCTTGGATGGTGAGAGCCCATCTGTTCCTTTAAAAACATCACCAACCCTTCCCCCATCCTGGGGCTTCTGTGATTGGCCACAGGAGGATAAGGACATGGACAGTGGGGAGCTAAGGTGAGGAAGCTGCCTGCTGGACTGTGGAGGTAGCAAAGTCCAGCCTGTGGGGACACCCTGCCGGGCACATACAGCAGGAAAGCCATAACCTGCATTTTGCTGGAAAAGCCCCCTGAAGGGGAAGGCCTGGCCTTGAGGAGTCCAGGGGAGGTCTGGGCCAGCCCTAGAAGCCAGACCCACCATGGTTCAGATTCTAGGGAAGGGCAGCCCAAACAGTGCCTGTGCCCAGAGAAGGGATGTCCATAAGGCAAGGGCCAGAATCCCTGGGTAGGAAACTCACGGAACACAAACTAGGCCTGTGGTATAGCTTTAAACCCTCACCAGCCACTAAGAGGGAAATGAAGTATCAAAGGAAAGAACTAACTCAGGGGATAAAATGGGCTGCCTTGCTAGTCCTGCCCTATTTCTCAGGTCTCCTTCCTGGTAGGCAAGAAGCTGGGCAGAGAAGAGGACTGGGGGTGGGGTGGAGTGGAGTGGGGGTAGCGGCAGAAAGCCCAAAGCCCCAGAGAGAAGATGCCCACTTGACCAGGCATCATCCCCTAACTTTACTTGGCAAATACTCCCCTTGCCCCCAACATACCTGGGGCAGCCTGGGCCCCCTCCTGAATGAGAGGCCAGAGCTGGGCTGTATCCTGGAAGCTGGCATGGCCAAGGCAATGGAGAACTGGCGGGTGGGGGGTGGGGGTGTCAGAGTCAGTGGTCAGAGACTAGTGAGCTGTTCACTCCTTACCTACTCCCCAAAGCAAAGCAAGGTGCTGCCAAATAAGGTGTCAGACAAGGCTCTGCCCTCTCTGGCACCCTGCAACCCCCTCCCCACCCAGCAAGCCCAGGCTTTCCAGCTTAATTTCCCCACTGCTATTGTTATTCATACTCACTCTCCCCAGAAGCTGGGAGCAGTCCCTGCTGGGCCAGGATTTAACCCTGAAAGTCCCAAGCCTGACAGCTCCCAGGAATTCCTGAGCCCTTCCCAGCCAGCTCCTTTGGCCTTGGGTCAGCGGCTGGGGTCACTGGGTACCTTTTCTCCTGACACATACTGCACTAGTTGAGAAAGAGTGCTCAGAAAACGAGGCTGAGGGCACCGTGGGTGTCCCTCGCCCTCAAGAAAGGACTCGGAAAACTGGAAAAGGGAGGCACTGTGCCAGGCATTGCTCTGGCCACGTGCGGGGACCTGCCACTGCCCAGAGACCAGGCCGGGACAAGGCAGAGTCACAGGAGACAAATCCATTCCTTCCTGAAGCACAGACAGGAGAGCTCCTTAAAAAAATCCCAGGCATCTGCTAGGCTGCCTAAGACTTTTTCCTGCTTCTAATCAGGGTGACCACCCATCCCTGTTTGCTCAGCAGGCTTATTAGCAATGCCTCCTTTTACTCTCAAAAGCATCCCAATTGCTTAAGATCCACAGGCCCTTTTCTCAAATGCAGGGCACCCCTGTGCTGGAGGAGGCGCAGCAACAAGAAGCACATCTGTATTTCCTACGAAAGCCTAGGCCCAGCCCTTCCCCACCCCCAAAGGGCCTGGAGACAGGATTTGTGAACAGACCGCATAGCTGAGCAAGAACCGAAGCCCCTCAACAGGCCCCAAGTTACCAGAGGAGTCCGGCCTGGGAATGGCTGGGGGCCAAGGCTGAGGTCACCTGGGCTTGTGGCCTTTAAGGACATGGACACCAAGTACAAAGCAAGTACAGGGCCAGATGGAAAAGAGAGGGTGCTCAGGGAGGTGCTTTCAAGCCTGGCAAACAAAAGGGCTCTTAGCTGAGAGGTGACTGGCCTGTCCCTTATTCCCCCCCATCCGCCCCCAGTTTGCTGGTGGACCAGCTGCAAGAGTGGACTCTGGGATACTTGCCTCCCTTCTCAACACGCAAAAGGTCCCAGCAGGTGAAGGTTGGGAGGGAGCCTTCCACTGTAGGGAGACTGGCCCCAGAACTTGGGGTTGCATTCCCTGTAGTATCGTACCCACTGTCCCCTGATCCCAGGAAGCCTCTAAATCACAGGATGCAAGTCACATTTCCAAATCAAACATAAGAGCCTACTGCTAGCTTCCCTTGAATCCACCAAATCCCTCATCACCAGCAAAAGAACTCCTAGCTTTCGTGTGGTGCCTAAGGCAGCAATGTCACTCACTGTTCTGAGGAGAGGCTGGGGTCTCTGCTGCCTCCCTCGCTGCCCTCCAGTCTGAGGAGAGTGAGAGAATGAGTCATGCTCTGAAGCCTTGACTTGTGAGAACTTCGGCTGCAGCTCTTCCCTGGGGTGGGGCTGGGTGGAGGGGGCTCCCAGCCTGCCAGGCCCCTCTAACCTGCAGGGGTGGCCCAGCTCAAAGGGGGAAGAAAATCCTGGGAAAGCAGGAGGTGTGGCTCCCATTCCAGCTCTGCCAATGCTCCTGCTGTCCTGTCCTTACACACTAGCTCAACCAGAAACTTCCTACCACTGCAAAGAGACAAGGGTGCCTGGGTTGTCTCAGCACCAACCTTCTCTTTGGGAAGCCTTGTCCTCCCAGGCATACATGGTCTGGGCCCCCCTGAGAGAAGGTTCTTAGGAGGGACTCCCCAGGACACATTACTGCTCACCTAGACTGTGTCAAGCTAGCTCACACTGAAGAAGACCAGTCTGATCGTCCCTAGCCTGATCGGCCAACAGCCAGCTGCCATGAAGGACAGTGGCTGGCCGGTGTCCTCCATACCAAAGATCCAGCAAACCACAGGTTGAATCTAAAATCACAAGTGTATTCTAAAGACAGCAAACAGGCCATCACAGCCCCAGGCACTTTGGGTCACAAAACTAAGCTGAAGTGTCCATATCCTGTACCCCATGTCTGCTCAGGACTAGAAGTCAACTCTACAAAAGTAAAAAGGGAAGGAAGACTTGAGTCTTGCCCGCAAACTGCAGAAGCATCATGCACCACCCTCTGCTCTCACACAGGCAGAGCACACCCAAAGTGCCGTGTGCAAGGGAGGGTCAGAGGCCTGAAGGAATGTGGGCTGTGGGCACTGCTGAAGGGAAAACCAGTGTGTCAAGTCCAGATCACTCCTGCAAACGGAGGCTGCCCTTGGGCTCTCAGCTTTGGCTGCAGCTCTCCCCCCACCCTTACTTACCCAGCTTCTAGAGTATACACCCACCCCCATTCTTAGAGGTTCAGGACCCAGGACTCTGCCCCACTACCCTTCCTGAAATCTCTGCATTTTAAATTCTACTTTTCAGGCTTTTTGCTTTATTTTTAATAGGAGGAAAGTATGCAGGGGGGTCTTAGGCAAAGGCAGACTAGCTGGTCACCTGGGTGAGGGTTCCTGACCCAAGCCACCTCCCAATTCCGATTACACCTAAAGCTACACGGTTGGCACTGAATTAAGCACTTCCTTCCTTTGCGCTCTCTCGGAATAATTTCCACACTCCCCCAAAGGAATAACAGTTTTTCATGAGCACTGACTTTCCTGAATCTTCTATCAGAGAAGAAAAGCAGCAAGAGCACAAAGGGACGCTCCTGTTGATTGAAATTTAGTTGGTGTTACTTCACGGAAAAACAGGTGAAGCTGCTGAAATTCTTATGATGAAGCCAGGTTAAGTCGAGTCTGGGGTCCCTCCAATCCCCCATGGCTGGTAAACTGGAAAGAACCAAACCTTCAAGCGAGGTGGACCTGGATTCGAATGTCAGCTCTGCCCCTGGTTAGCAACTTATTTAACTTCTCTGAACCTGATTTGTTCATCTAAAATGGATAAATCAAAAGGAATTTTAAGAATGGTGGTGAGGATGACACTAGTCTCTGTGCAGAAGCCTAGTAGGGTAGGAAGCAGGCAGACCAACTTCTCCCCCACCCTCCAGACCCACAGAGGAAGGCAGTGGCTCTTGGCTTGGGGGGCAGGTTCCCCACATCAGGAGCCCAGAGCTGTTGGGGCTGAGAGAGATCTGAAAACCTAGCCTACACCTGAACTCTACTCTGCTTCTATTCTGCCAAAGACACCCAAGTGTCAACCCCAGGTAAAGATGGAGAGGCTATGGCGGGACTTGTGTGTGTGGGGTTCCATCTACCACACAGGGAGAGGACAGGGGCAGAAACTGTATCCCAACAAACCCTAAACAACAGCTCCGTGCCTCTGGGAAACACTCAACTGGATGGTGAAAAGCCCAGGGGATGGGGTCAGGGGGGCGTGCGTTTGCCAGCTTCCGCCATCTGACTGCTGCTTCAGCACGGACACCCACAGACAGCAGAAGTGCCCGAGTCCCCGGGATGCTGCCCTGGAAGAGGAACCAGTGGCCTCGGCCACCACCGGCTCCAACTCTCCAGTGCCTGTTTAGCTTCACCTGCTGTGGGCACCCAATTCACTCTGCAGTCAAGCTGATATCCTACAACCCTGGGCAGGAAGCACCCACCCCACCAGAGGGAATTGGCCTGACCCATCTGGCCATAGCTTGTTTTATAGACTGCCTTCAGGTCTAATGGTCTAGTGGCCAGACCACCTGCTCCTCATACTTCACTGTGGAGGCTCCCAGGAACTCAGAAAGGTGGGAGCAGCTGTACGGTGAAGGTTCACACCCATCACGCATTGGGTCTGGTATCTCAGCCAACCCAGCCTGGCATCCGGGTCCCATCTTTGGCTACTTCTGTCTACCCGGACCATCCCAGCAAGAGGGCCCAGGCATACAGGCCCAGAGCAGCACCCAAGTGTCCAAAACCCCCACTTACTTCTGGCTTCAGACGCAAAGCTGGACACCAGCCTCTTGTAACTGTAAAGGAACACAAATCTCAGTGGGGAGTTTTGACTCAAACTATAAAGTGGACTCTTCGATTTTATATGAGAATTACTATTACATTCACGAATATAGTTAACGGTACAGATGGTGGAATCTCCTCCGTAGAAAATGCCAGGGCCCTCATTGTGGGACAAGGCCCTTCTTTTAGTGGGGGCTGAGAGTGAGAGAGACAGTGTATCCCTAGGGTCCAGAAATCAACATACACACATGGACAACTGCACTACGACAGTGGGCAGAGAGCACTGTATTTTAGTCACACCATGGTGCTCTGCTTTAAGAAACTCTAACCTGACAAATTAGAAGGCAATCACATGCAATACAAAACTGGTCTTTAGAGGGTTTCCTTAAAGGCACACACACCTACTTCGGGTGATCTGCTCTCTCTAGCTTCTTCCTAGTGCACAGCTTCTCTGTGCACAAAGTAGACCTGTAGCTGCAGGGGCCATTCCCGCTAAGCCAGAGCACCTGCTACTCATTCCCAGGCACATGGCATCTCTTGTCACCTTTGCTCATTCAGCCAACATCTGCTGACCTCCCATCATGGCTCAACACAGCAAATGTGACACCTGCAGGGGCTAGAAGCCACTTCATACTGCTGCTAATCCTAAGTGGGCTTGGTCCACAGCCTGAACTGAGCCTTGGTTTCCTTGTCTACACAGCAAAGTTGTTATGAGGATCAAGTTGAATGAGCACGTGTGTCAAGTGCCTAGCAGAATACCTGGTATAAGTCAGGTGCGCAACACAAGCTCGTTCTTTTTCCCTGCGTGTCAAGTATTAGGCTAAATGCTGAAGAAAAATGCAAAAAAGACTACGAAACTGGAGCGTGGGCTGGTAGGAAGAAAGAGGACAAGCGAGTGTGACAAGGATTGTAACACGGTGCTTAGAGTTTGATGTGGAGAGCTATGGCTCCACGGTAGCCTCACTAAGTGAAATATGCACCAGGTCTTCGTTTACAGACACTGACCGAGGGCCTGTTTCATGCGCGGTGTACTGAGGGAAAAACAACCTGAGAAATGTGCTTCATCAATGCTTGGATGTAGGAAGGAGCGACGGACAAAAACTGAAGTCTTGAGGCAGGAGACAGATGAAACTATTCCCAGACTCACCCTTATTAGCTCCATGTAGGATTACTCCAGCCTGGGGGACAAGAGAGTTCCAGGCTAAGGCTCCCTCAGACTCTCCCAACCAGACCCCACAGTGCCCAGGCTGGGCCAGCAGCAGATCTATTCCTGCAGCAGGACCCATTCACTCTGGGCAGTTAAAAGTGTGGGAGAAATAAAACAGAAAGATACAGGGCGCCCCAAACCTCAGCAACAGGTCCTCAGCAGAACTGAGAGGAAATGTCATGCTACTGACACACAATTCTTCAAAAAACACGACAATATCTCACGAGTCTGCTCTGGGCACCTGCCCAGAAAGGCAAAGGATATGTGTCGGTTCAACCACCAGGACACTGCAGGAACCAACAACTTAGATTTCTAAAGCGGCTTGCCAAGACTGGAGGTGCTATCTCTTGTCCTGAACAGAAGAAGCTGGCTGGCCAGGCCAAGCTGGGAGCTCTGCCCTCAGCCTCCCCAGCAGAGTGCTAACCTTCTGAATGAGCCAGCCATGAGGAACGAGACCCAAGACCAGGCCTTCCCAACACTCCACCAGCACAAGCAGAACCACAAGTCCAACCCTACCAGAGTTACAGGCACCCCACACAAATACCTCAGACATGGCTAATTAACTAAATGATTAGGGCCACCCTCATTAGGATGCAAGCTCTATGGGGACAGGTGGGCTCTGCCTGCCTTACCACTAAATCTCACCCACAGGGCTTAATAAAAGCTTGTTGAGTGAACAAAGATCTGGCCACCTACCTGCTCCACCACATTTAAAACATTTCTACCCTAGACTGATGGCATCACTTGGAGCCCAGGACAGGAAACTCTGACCCCCTAACTCTCTCCCATCCCCAGGACTGTGCCTCTTCAGCGTAATCAACAGTTCAACAGGGCTACTTTAGGAAATCTCTCGTATTTACACAGCACAATGCTCTTTCACTACTATCCTTTTCCTTCTCTCTCCCAAATAGCCCAGCTATACCTCAGGAATATATTCCGCTCACTCCACTTCTTACCATAAACCGTTAAGCAAGCAAGGGTGGCACACTCTAGTATAGAGGCACACTTGTATTAAGACAAAGAATGCCACAGATATTAAGGTGAACTCAGCAGCGAAGAACCAGAGTTAGCATTATCAGTCCCCAAATCACCGAAGTGTGCAGTGTAGGGAATTCTCAATTCAGCACAGAGGCTTCTAGTCTAACAGGATGGCTGATGTTTGTCAAGCACTCACTACCCACCCTCCACTCTCCGCAGGTACCATTCACTCTCATTTATCCTCACAACCGCCTCATGAGGTGGTTGCTATCATCTCGTCCTAACAAGGAGAGAACAGGTAGACAGGGTAAAAGAACTCGCCCACACTCCTATGCTGTCAGTGCTAGAGGCAGGGCATCTAGGGTCAGACCCCAAAGCCCACAGCCCCACTGCAATACAGTACAACTGTGGGCTCACAGACCAACATTCAAGATCAACTTGTACATTCAATTTTGTTTTTCTGTGTTGTTTTAAATTATTAGTAATAGCGTCTTATTTATTTTTCCTAATTTTTCACCACAAAGGAACTAAAGATGTACTCCAATTAAATGGCATTGGTGGGCTGGCCAGAGAACATAAACATAATTTTACAAATTGTTTCTACAGCAAAGTCTGCTCAAAATCCCCAGTTAACTCTTATATGCACTTTGGAAAGAAATCCATTTTATATCCCAGAAAGGGGTGAGGGCTTCAAAGATACGTTGTCTTGATTTTACAATAAATCCAGAAATGAAGGCTACAGACTTCCCCCACGGATCTCACCACATCGCTTGAACCACATGGAATCTTCCTCCAGTCTGAACTGCAATCAAGACTGCAATTTGGTCATCACACTCCAAACAGCAACCTTAATATTCAAAGATGTGTCAGCTACCCCTTGGCTACCTCCCTGTGGGCTGAGTAAATCTAAGTCCTTTCAATGTTCTCTGGAGATCATCTCTTACAGTCGTTTCACCCACTTTATAATTCTTTTCTACGTTGTCTGATCTGTGTGAACCCCTCCAGGCACAAGGCAGGGGACGCCCCTCACTTCTTGATGAGGGCCTGCCGACTTTGACTACAGTAGGAATGTGACTCCATCTTCCCTCCTGGCATACCTGTCAGGGTATCCTGGCATCAAAATGGACCCTAATTTCTTTCCCATGATTTCTTCCAAGATCTTCTAAACCCTAACGATTCACCTCTATTCGACCACCTGGCCAAATGAGAATGTGATTAACAATCTCCTCTCCACTCCCATTTTAGACAGGTAGGCTACAGCCGGAGACGGGCCTAAGTGTGGGCCACCCCTCTCCTCTGCAGGAAACTGAAGGAGCTCCATGGGGGTTCCAGATTGAAGTGAAGTAGGAGCAGCCATCACCACTCCAGGTGAGATCTTGGGGTCACAAAAGGCGGAAAGCATACCAGGTCCCTCCTCCTTAACCAAGGATGGAGGGGAGGTGGACAAAGCTCCCACCCCAACCTCCACCCCCTGTTCCACCACAAGCCACTGGAAAAGGAAACTAATGAGAAAAAAGACATAGACACCAAGTTCCTGCCTGGCATCGATCCTGTTAACTAAGAGTCACTTATTTTTCGTTCAGGTAACTCGGTCACGGTGCCTTGGAAAAAAAATTCCCATTTCAAATCTCAGAAAGGCTCAGAGACAAACCCATTCTTTTACTCCTGGTGGATCAGGCCTGCGGGATCTCAAGGACAACATTTTTGTTTTTGTTTTTTGTAGGATGCTGAGTCAGGTGAATAACCAACCAACCAACCAACCTCTGCAGGTGTTTCCCGCTGGGAAAAATGGAATCTGGCTGAAAATCCTACCCAGGACACAATACAAAGTCTCGAGCAGGACTCTGCCCTGAGGCCTGCTCACCAAACCCACAGTCCTCTGGTTGTGAGCTTCTACACCACCCCGCCTAGGGCACCGATCCCCCCACTGGAACCCCAGGGCCTGCTGCTGCTACTCAGCTCTGCAAAGCCAAGGGGGAGAGGGAGCTCAGTGGAGCTGAGGGGGCTTGTCCGGCCATCTGGACAGGCCCCTGCAGCCTCGACTGCTGCTGTTCCTCCTCCTCCTCCTCCTCCTCCTCCTCCTCCTCCTCCTCCTCCCTGTTAGCCGGGTTACTGCTCATTAGTGGTAGTACCAGGAGGTGGGCAAGGGACACGTAAAGGAGCTGAAATTCAAACCAGCCCATTTCATTCCAGTTAGGTGCCTCCCATAAAACCAGGCAGGATTTCATCATCCAAGTTCTCCCCGTCCCCTGCCTTGAGGAGGTCGAAAGAGCCCAAACTTTGAGGAGCTGCAGAATCTCAGGACCCCAGGCGTCAGGAGCCTAGGTTTCTAATCTTTGTGAGCTGTTGACTATTCTCTGTATTTTCTGTCTTGTCACGGTTAACAGACCCTCTAGCCGTGAGCTGACCCACAGAGTCAAGGCCCTGGACCTACAGAGCAGGAGTGCATGCTGGGGCTGCCCTTAGTATCGAAGCACTCTCCTTGTCCCTCCAAAGTCCCCGGCATAATGGCAAGTTCACAAAGGAAGTGAGTCTTGCCAGACTGTGCTAGCGAATTCCCATAAATACTTGGGCCAGGGTAGTACTGCTTATGTAAAATGCTTCCCCATTGAGAGATGCTGCTTTATTTACATTCTTCACAACCCATTCATAAAAAGGAGGCCCTTTAATGTTGGGGCTGTTCGTATAATGCTCCATAAACCCGGCAGCTTCGGCTGGCAGCCTTAGTTCAACACAGGCTACTTCTCAACTCCAGAGACTTTTTCCCTTAAGATTTTTTTTTTTTCTTTAATGACTCACCTTGCGACAGGGCGCGGAGGCCAGATGTTGCCGGAATAAGGCCAAGAGGAATAAGGACAGATAAAATGAAAACACACAAGTCCTCCTGAATGCTAGGACAGAGAGGTGGGGAGAGATGAAAATCAATAAATTGAAAATCCCCATACAACTTCAATGTGAAGTATGTATTTTGGGAAGTTGAATTCCTTCCAGGTTTACTGAAACTGCCTTTAAGGATGTCAAAAGGGTCCCCGACTTATACCTCTACATACTAGACGTGGTGTGGAGGAATTTTTTTTTTTAACCCCGAAACAAAAGAAAGATGAAGGCTCATTCTGGCTTTTAACTTGCATTACGGATGAATAAAAAAACAGTAATTTTCTCTGCTTCTTCACAGACATGTTCCAGGGGCTGCTGGATCCAAGAGGGGCACAACTGGCTCAAGGTAATGAAACTCAGACAAACCCCAGAAAAAGAAGGACTGTGCTCTAGGATGCACAGCAAAACAGCCTGAGCAGCTGAGGAGAGAGCCCAGGAAATGCATTCTGAGGTAGCTTGTCTTCCGCTATAGCAGAAGCAAGGAAGAGAGAAGTAGTAGGGATTTTTTTTAATTGACGGGGAGCGGTCTGCATTGCCATGGCAACTGTGAGGGGTGGCCTTCCCGCTTGGAAGGGAAATGCTGGTCCATTAATCATCAAACTGGGGCACAAAAGGGAGGTTTGGGGGAAAGGGGATGGATGCACAATTTATTTTTTCACTGTCTAGACTCAAACCAGTCACCAGCCCTCTTTCACATTTCCCCCATGGTCCAAGGTTTGATGGTAAACAAAATCGGAAGTTCCAAGAGAGCTGGGTTCCTAGCTTTCCCTTCTGATGGGTCCAGTGTGGGGCTGATCACGCCTCCATGTCAGTGATAATCACCTCTTCCAATGCCAGTCCCCAAAGTCCCATCCACGGGCCAGACCAGGAATCTTTTTCTTTTCTGTTCTCAAAACCGTGTTTTCTCCCTCATTTACACCCAGGATTGAGAAGAGATAAAACATATGGATTCATTTAGCATGGACAACAAGGAAAATTGCATAAGAGCAGCAAAGCCGGGTGGAGAGAATGGCCTGGTGGGGTAAGAGGAAAACAGGATTCCAGCCCTTTTCCAATTCATGTCTATATGGTGTCATGTGAGCAATCCACAGGACAGACTCTCCACCAGCTGGAATATCAGAAACAACAGCTAAGTTTTGTTTGTTCCCCACGCTAAAGCAACCCCAACCCCAGTGTGCCCTATGTGTGTGCTTTTGACAGAAAATATTGGAAACCACCAAGGACTCCATACTGAGCATTTCTTAGGAAGAAGGGAAGGTTTCCCCTGTTCCCAATCAACTAAGCAGCCAATTGCATTTATTTATTTATTCAACAAAAACAACACACACTGCACTATACTAGAAATCCTGAAATATTCTCTCTCTCTCTCTCTCTCTCTCTCTCACACACACACACACACACACACACACACACACAGATTTAACACTCATACTGTCCCTTGTCTTAATAAACTTCCAACTTACAAAACCACTCAAGAAGACACCATGTTATAAAATTCAGGGTCACAATCCCAGAGGCAAGCAATGTTGGCCTGGAGTGGCCTGACAGCAAAACAAAGATGAGTAGGGTTCAGGTGGGAAGACAGGAAGGCAAAAGGCTCCTCGCTAGGGACTACTGGAGAGAGCAGCAGACGGAAAGATGCAGGGAGATAGCTGTGTCCAGCATGGCCAGGGGAGAGCCGTAGAGGACATGTCTAGGGTCAGACTGCAGGAAAAGGAGAGCCACTCAAAGTGTGTGAACAGGGGAGTGAGTGCTTTAGGAAGAAGGCTCTAGCAGCTGTGTACAGACTGGATCAGAAGGGCCAGAGGAAGCAGGAGGGAAAAGGGGGCCATGACAACATAGGCCTGACGTGGGGACAGCAGAACAACAGGAAGAAAAGGGAGATACAAAAAACAAAGAAAGTCTTAACTGGAGTAAACTCTCCAGAGCAAACCCTCCTAAACACCTGAGCTGTCTGACTTGAGTCTGCTGCCAGGCAAGAAGAGCCTGTCAAAGAGGGAAACACTGTTTTGGTAATTTCCCTTTACGTCCCAGTGGCCAGACCAGCTCACCCCCTTCTGACTGCTACCAAAAGAAATCACATACCATGTGGCCCTAGGGGAGGCAAGAAGGCCTTGAAATTCTTCACCATTCTCTGAATCTTAGACGTACAATTACATCCTCTCAGAATAAACTTTAGTCTCTTGCATGAGGTAATACCTCCCTTTCCCACAAGCCTCAACTCCACTCAGGCTGGGGTTTAGACCCTTCTGAGGAGGGGGCCAGAGGGCGACCATGAATTAACTCCATGCCCATACTAAGCAAGGCTGACATGCAGCCTTCCCAGGATTATAGCCAACCACAGCTAGGAGCAGCTCCTAATCAACAGCCACCTGAGGTGGGACTTGAACCCAGAAACTCAGCAAAAGCAGACATTCAAAACAGTCTCAGCCTCCCTGTCTTTGTGATCACAACTCTTCAAAGAGGTACAGGGTCCCATGGGGAGCCCAGGAGTTCTGAGTGGGTTTTCAGAAATGGAAAACAGCATCGAGCTTAGAGCAGATCACTGGTGGGGACAGATGCACTCAGTAGCTTAAGCCACTGGTTCCCAAGTGTCCTCTAGCTAGCCAAGGACAGTGGTGTCCCTCCAGGACATGTGCTCCCTCTAGGGTCCTTTTCTCCGTTTTTCAAAAGACATGGGAGTGGAGATGGTGCTGGGAAAGTCTCTCAGGTGGCATAAAGGAAAAAGACTGGAAACCTTTTCATTTCATCATTAAATTCCTGCCTGGATTTATAAACTCCAGCTACTCATTTCCCTTTGTGGGTACCTTCCTAGCTAAAGAAAAGTGCTGAAAACAATTGTGGATGGGTTGCTGGAGAACACTGGGGGGGGGGGGGGATCTCCTAGTCTCCAATCCAATTGGTCTTCTGCCCTAAGACTGTCGACAATAGACGACTAGAAGATATCCCAGGTGGGACTAAACCTCTGTCCATGGAGCAGACACTGCTTGCTGAAACCCCTCGTTCCTGGCAGGGTCTAGAGTGGCTCACCGGACTGTGGCCTTGGAGTCTACCAACCCGGTCGCCACCAGCCAAGGCCCACCTTGTGCACCCCACCTCTGCCCCTCTGCTCCGGCCGGGTCGACCCCACTCTTCCCAGAACCAGGAGGCGATAGGCGGCTGGAGTGGTGAGCCACTGCCGCAGCTTCTCCCGGCGGGCACCCCGGCCCCCGCAATCCCTGGGGCAGAGTCCGGCCCGGTCGCCCGCCTCTGGGGGTGGGTGGCTCGGACCTGTTCCCCTCCCCGACGCCACCACCTGCGCCCGCTCAGGCGCCGCCTTTGTCCGGCGCTTCACCGCGGAGCGGGCCCCTCGGGCCCGACCTGACCTGGCCCCCGGCTCCAGAGAAGAGGCGGCGAGGCGGGCAGGGCCAGACCAGGCCCGGCCGCGAGCACGGGGTCCCGCTGTCACTTGGAGGCGGTCTGACAACTTCGATCCCCCCGCCCCACCTCGGACTCGGCCGCCGCTCCGCACGGTCTCCGCCGGGCCTCCCGCGGCCCACACTCGCTCCTCGAACCGGTTCCCTTCCGTCTTCGGCGCCTCCCTTCCTCTCGGCACGATAGGGTCGGGTCTACACTACCCCCCGCCCCGGTGTGGCCCCCATCCCCAGCCCCCCATCAAGCAACAACCGGTCACCTCCCAGCGCGGGAGGGCGCCCCCCACCCTGAGCGGGCGATCCCGCGGCGCCGCCCCCGGCCGCGGCCCCTTGCCTCGGGGACCGCGATGGGGGAGGGGGCGCGGCGGGAGGGGGTGCCGGGGGCCTTGCCGCCCGCGCACTCGGAGGCGAGCCCGCTCCACCGCGGCGAGGAAACGACCGGCGTCCTCCCGCCCTCCGCGGCCCGGGACGCCCGCGCCGCCGCCGCCCGGCCGAGCTGCCACCCTGCGGCCGCCACCCACCCCGCCCCC